TAAAGCCTGCAAGTGACGTCGCTAGCGGAAGCGCAAGTGTCTGAGAGTGCAAGTCTGAGAATGCAAGTCTGAGAGTGCAAGTGCGAGGCTGCAGCCAGACCCTTCTTGCTTTTGTGTGTGTGTGTGTGTGTTCAAATCATTGTGCAGCAGTAGTAGTAGTGTGAGGAGAAAGGGGTCATTTCTCTTGAGCATGTGTCTGCTGTAAAATACTAGCATTACAGTGCCATCTGCTGAGGGCATATATACAGATGAAGACTCTCCAAAAAAGAAATAAATAAATAAAATTCACTGAGTGATGTTTATCAAAATCAAATGACAATGACAGGAATGTATAAAAGTTAACAATAATCAGATTTCCAATTTAAATAATGACAAAATAGGCTACAATAAAATAGACAAAACAAAAACAAAAAAAAAATGAAAATCTATAAGGGTATATTTTTTTGTATTTTTGAAAGAAATTCAATACAGCAAGTGTTACTATGCTTTTTATTTCAAAACACAGTATACAAAGGCTTTATGTGAATGAATGTGAATTGGAAAAGTTTGAAGATTTAGACTAGGCTACACCTTATTTTGTGAGCTGATATAAAAATATGACAAAATATGCAAAAAAAAAATATTATTTTTTTCTGAAAAGTTACTGTCGCATCCAGTTACTATACATATGAATGAAAGTTGGTGATTAAAATATTTAACAAATTTAAAAAAAAATCTGTAAAAAGATAAATACGCTAAAAAAAATTTATTTTAATTTATTTATTGTAGAGTGTTCAGTAAAATTAGTTCATGATAGATAGATAGATAGATAGATAGATAGATAGATATGTTATATAAAAGTGTCTATATGGACTGATTAGAGAAATAAGCAGGTTAATAATAAAAAACGTCCCAGCAATTTTGTAAAGAACTAATTTACACGCCGGACAAAGTCGCAGATGTTCAGATAGGCACAATCTTCATTTGCATAGTGGCCCCCTGCTTGACTTGCCTGTATCCGTCTGTCTACTCTCACGACCCGTCCGCTCAACCCATAATTCCCAGCGTCGACACAACATGGAAGAGGCCAACAGCTGCAAGAGAACAATGTTTTGGCTGTAAAGTAACTCAAAGAATCGAGCGCCGGGATTCATTTGAATGCTACGAATCGGCCGTGGTCATGTACAAGTAAGTGGGATTGCGTTTGTACTATTTATTTGTGCCCGAGGTTTTAAAGATGAGGGATTGCGCACGGCTGAAAGCTCCAAATGAAATCACAACTGCTCAAGCGAGAGATGCGTTTCAGCGCCGAGCATCATTGTTTCTGCTACCTGAGACTGAGGCGATTAAAGCGCTTTTAGCAAAAAATTAAATCTACATTTGCAGGCGTACACATATACCAATCTCAGTGTGCTCTTTACATCGCACTTATCGCCGCATATTCACGGCGGATTGTTTTACTGTTTGTGTGCTATAATTAGTGATGGTGATGAATGGTCACGATATATCTATCACTCGTGTACAGGGCAAGTACGAGAAAGGCGACAAAATTGCAGCAATGCAGTTATTATCAAAGAAACTACACGGGAAGCGCGATTCTCCGTGTATCCGGCTTCGTTTGTTATGGGGGCATTATAGCACATCGCATGCCGTGTGGAGATGGACAGTTAGCAGTAGCTCTTTCATCTGCATGCTATTGCTGGCTAGCCCCGTTCGTCACGTAGTTCAACAAAACGCTTAATTTTGGTTGTGTCTTTTAGTTTTTGTCTTTCTTATATAGTGTATTCGTGTGTAAATGTGTCTCTATGTACACACACGAGTTTGTTTAAAATCTGATTGAAGTTCTCGTGTCTTACTCTTTCGCTTTAGTTAACGTTAGCCATTAGCTGCTAATGGAGTCATTTAGATCGAGATGTGTTTGGTAATTGTGATGAACGACTAGATTAGCCGGATTTGATTAAACGGGTTACATTTTACACGGTTCAGCTATGTAATGCATTTAATAATCATAGCAACTATGTGAAATTCATGTATTCGTGTCCCTAAACTTGATATACTTAAAAAAGAAAATCATATGTATTAAAAGACTGAGTTATATCAATAAGATTAAGCAGCTATCCATTAACGTTAGCTGATCACAATAGAGAACAATGCTGGGGCACCCGCAGACTCAGTTTGGACCGTGTTTTATTTTCTGAAAAGGTAATACACTACATATTAAGGGTGTTTAAAGTATTTATTGAAGCAATTTACTGTGTGTTTGCAAAAACTGTTTCAAAGTCGTCCTTTTAATCTCTAATCTAATGATGCTAAAGTTAGCTAAGGGATCATCAAAAAGGACCAATCCGGTATAGGGTTGTGTGTATTTATTTATTTTAACTTGTGCTTATACCAATGGGTAATCAAAACTAAAACAATTTATTATTATTATATTATTATTTATGGGTTGTTGACCCGAATTTGGTTGAAATGATCTAAACACAAGAATCGCCATCATGTCCTGTTATATTTTAAACGGACTAATTAGGCCCTATAGAAATATTTAATATTTCCCCACTTAGACCTTGTATATTATAAATATTCTTGACGATTTAGTAACGACATTAAAGACAAAACGAAGGGTTGCTCTGTTTTATGATTTTGAAATAATACAATGATAGTTTTGAAGTTGCCTATATAATTGGTGGTTTAGTCAGCTTTCATAGCTGCTTCAGTAATAAGGTAAATCACTAGAATATTTCTGACTTTGGAGAGGTCTTTAATTGCCAGTGCACAGCACAGCAATTATGATCTTGATTTTAGAGATATCTGATAACCTCTGGTGTAATACACATTGCAACTTGGAAAACCAATTCAGCAGTAGTGGAACAATTCTCTGATTTTGCTTTGTCATGAAAGCTGCATCACATGATGGCATATCATACACACAATGTGCACAATTCCCTGACTCATCAGCTAGTGTAGTGACCTTATTAATGAAATCAGTTATGTTTATGGATCAGAAATAATAAAAGAAAATGAAGCATTGCACATTATTACACTAATACACTTATTTTCACTAAACCTATATTTTTTTCTATAAATTACTAATCTATTACCCATTAGTATATGGCATCAATCTACTAGATTAATTCATAATTCATCACATATTTTCATGTCTTCATAGCATATTTCATCAATGAACTTTGGCCTGTTGAAGACCCAAGCATGAGTATTATCCAAGACAAGCTAGGCAATGAGTTTTTACGGAACGGTGGCATGGACCCCAACTTTCCCCCCAGCATGATCATGTTCAGCCATTTACCTCCAGTGACCAGTTTCACGCGCCTGACTTCACAAACCTCCATGTCGGATCTGCCCCAAGAGATGATTCTGAAGAAGGAGCGTGACTCTCCTGACCATGGTGGTGGATTTATCCACAGTATGGGTATCAAACAGGAGAAGCTAAGTGAGTTGGATTACCACCTCCCGATGTATGCAACAGGAACTGGAACAGCAGGAGGAAAAAGCACTGATATGCTGGACATGTCGCTCAGCAACCACCAGAATATGCTTTTGCATGACCTAAGCCTTAGTAACGTAAGTCTAGATGATAAATGAGTTATCGATACACCGTGTACTGCATACTGTACTATACTGTCTTTATTTTTTGTTTTTATTTCATGCCATTTTTCTGTGCTTCATTAGCAGTTTTCTGGAAGACTGGGGAAAGACCCAAAAGAATCTGGGCCTAGAAGAGGAAGGAGAGCAAATGGAGAAGGACCAGATGGCAAAGCCAGAAAGAAACAAGGAGATTCTGCAAAGGTATGTATACCCTTTTATCAGTCACTGTGTCATTTAAAACTTTCATAGTTTGTAGGATTTTGAATTGCAAACATTGTGATGTAACTGTCACAATTGGATCATGCACATTCTTTTTAGACTCTTTTGTTTGACAGTGTATGCCAATAGCAGAAATGTAATTGTCTACAGAAGTGTTCGTTTATTTTAGGGGTCGACCGATATGTGTTTTTCAGAGCCGATACTGATTATTACAGATCAAGTAGACCGATAACCGATATTTTCGACCGATATATATGTCTGATGTAAAAATGAAAATGAATGTCAAAATTAAGACTAACAAGGGCTCTGACAAAAACTGCCTTCGCTGGTGTTGGTTGAGTGTAGTACTCCCACACTGCACTTCTTACTCTTGTCTTCCTCTGTGCATCCATCTGCAATAAGGGTAATATAAAGCGAGAGTTAAAAGTGGGGCCACTGTATGCTTCATGATTAAGCCTATGAATACTGTACTGCAGCTAAACAGCTTGGTGAAATGTAAGTATTTGGCTTCAATAATTTACATGTTAGAAATGTATGTGTAATAGCATAACCTCTCATAATTCCTCATTAATTATTTTCTGATGGCTAAAACATAACCTACAATAGTAGAGGTGACTATTCAATTCATCATCTAATGCACATCAATGGATTAACTTAAAAAATGTATATAATAATAATGTGTAAATAATTGTCTTCATAGCTATATTGTAGAAGTTGTTAAGAAGACTGCAACTATTTTCATGAAACTATAACACTAATAGCCTTTTACAGGCACACTTAATTAAATAGCCTATTGAAATGTCTCAATTTTTGTCATCCTAA